GATATCATTGAAAAAACTTTTAAAAATGTAATACAATTTTTAAAATGTAATCTAAGGGAAAAATTTGAAAAACGTAATCTAAGCAATTCGAAGAGATGAATAATAAAATTTTAAAATGGCGCGGTAATGCACAAATATTCAGTAACCAATCAGGGAGCTGATTACATCAGGGATAGAATTAAAATTATTTAAATAATCATACATAATAAAATCAATTTTAAAAGAATGCGAAATTAAAAATTTTATTTTAATATTTAACAGCAGTAATAATTTAATATTTAACAGCCATAAATAAGTAATAAATAATGTTTAAAACATTATATTAAATTTATAGACATTAAAATCAAAGTAATGTGACGTCAGTTCATTACATCATCCACAACATAAAATTCCATAAAATATCATAAACAATAAAATTTTTATTTCAAATAAAAATGCAAAATTAAATTGATTTAATATTTAGAAGCCATAAATAATATTTAAAACACGGAATTTATGCATAATAAACGGGCATTATTTTTTAAATAAAATGACAACAAAGTATCGGTTACCATAAATAACTTGTCTAGCAATGGGTTTACCTTAAGGTATATTGCTCGCCAAAATCCGTGCAACCGTCTACCAAAGTAGCACCTTAATTTTTTTGTTGAAAACGTTGTTTTTTAAGATGGTTGGCATATGTAAATAAATAGATTTACTACGAGTATAAAATACTAAAGTAAGGTTAAATTATTACTTTCATATAGCAAAGTAAAAGAATAAAAGCACCGCTATACATTGCACCAACGCTTAAATGGATTAAAATATTACTTAAACTGAATATCGAATTAAAAACCATCATACCAACGTTTAAAAGAATTAAATCTTGAATTCAAATACATTAAAATAAGAACGCTTCTTACACTAGAGCTAAAATGACAGCAATTAGAAGTTTACTGCCGGTAAAAAAGGAGAAATGTCTAATTACTTTTTTTACAGTTACAGCTGTTATTTCTTCCACTGTGAACCACAATACGGCTGTCTTCAGAATCGGCTCTTTTAACGATCTTCATCTGTGATCCATATTTCTCACACTTCATTGAAGAAGCAATTAGCGAGGTTTCCTCCAAAATTTTAAAATAAATTTCCTCTAACCCTTGTAGCAATTAATAAATTAATCTTTTATTAGGAAAGCCATGTTGGCCAAAATAAGGTCTCAAAGGGCAATCTTTTTGATTCCGATACCAATAACTCTTGGTACTTACCAATAATAACATTAATCTTTGAAAAGGCGGACATATTCGTTTCCTATGAAATTTAAGGAATTCAAAGAGATGAATAATAAAATTTTAAAATGGTGCAGTAATGCACAAATATTCATTAACCAATCAGGGAGCTGATTACAGTTAGTTAATGCACAAATATTCTGTAACCAATCAGGGAGCTGATTACAGTTAGTTAATGCACAAATATTCTGTAACCAATCAGGGAGCTGATTACATCATGCCCAGAATTAAAATTATTTAAATAATCATACATAATAAAATAATTTTTAAAAAAATGCAAAATTAAATTGTATTTTAATATTTAACAGCCACAAATAATGTTTAAAACATTAAATTAAATTTATAGATATTAAAACCAATTACTTCTAAAGCCACAGCCAACTCTATAAATCGGCTGTGTTTTAAAGCAAGGTGACGTTATTGATTACATCATCCACAACATAAATTATACAAAATATCATAAACAACAAAATTTTTATTTCAAAAAAAAAAAAAAAAAAAAAATTAAATTGATTTCCAATATTTAGAAGCCATAAATATTATTTTAAAAACAGAATTTATGCATAATAAAATGCATTTTTTAAAAAATAAAATGACAACAAAGTATCGGTTACCATAAATAACTTGTCCAGCAATGGGTTTACCATAAGTTGTATCACTTGCCCCCCCCCAAAAAAAAGCCAAAATCCGTGCAACCGTCTACCAAAGTAGCACCCAGGACAGCTCCAAAGTCACTTTTTACAGTCGTTGAAGATCTACTATAAACATGCTGGAACAATCAGCGACACAGCCTAATCAAGCTATAACGGTCGCGACAGCTTCACTGCAAAGCACCAGAGTACAGCTCCTGACTCTGCTTGGTCATTCTCGGAACTCCACGCACTCTCGAGACTCTCCATGCTACAACTCGCAATGCACTTGACGACACACAGAGCACGGCTCCCGACTCTTTGGTTCAGTCATTCCTGGATCTTAACACGCTCTCTCGAAGATGCACTAACCGCGATACACTAAGAGACTCTTTGATGCACTTGACGACCCACTCGACACTCGCTGCCCGGCTGTCAACTCGACTGACTAACTCGAGACTAACTATCTCACACTCTAGACAAGGCACTCTCTCAATGACGCACACTCTCTCTGAATGCGGATCAGTAGGGTTTATATAGCTTTTGGCTTGTGTTCGAGAACATTCTGGGCTAAAACGGTAAGAATTCGTTCCAGAAGGTTCTCCATTCGTCCATGGTATATCGCCAATTTTGTCGCCAAATGGGCGTTTTCTTGCCAGATATGGCAACCCTGCCTTTTTATGGCAGCCCTAAAATGGCTTTGCGAGGAAGCTAATTTACCGCGCCTGTACATTTCGTAACAATATAGATATTCCCTCAAAGCATTACTATTTTAACTATAATGTGGATTGTTTTCTCCACTGACGATTGAGATTAGAATCTGCCTAATCTGGATTAAAAATGTCTTTTTTTTGCAGACATTTTGCAGCTAAGCGAACAAAAGAAATATATTTAATGATATTTTTAAATAAATTCAGGTATTTTATAATTATTCAGTAGCATACATAAGCAAAAAATATGTGCATTAAAAATCGTGATGGTATGTCAACATGCTACTAGAATTAATTTCAGGATTATACCAGAGAAAATTTTCTGAAATTTGAAAGTATTATTTACTAATAATAAATAAATTTAGAGTGAAGAAACAACATTAAATGATATGAACAACATAAAAATAAAGATAATTACTTAAAAATTGAATTAGAATAATCAACGATATTTTAGCGAATGTAGTTATATTTAATGGTTAGCCAAGATAACTGATTACTATATTTTTTATTTTACTGCAAAATGATAAATAAGGCATTTATTAAAAAGGAGAGATTTTGTGGTAAAATATTAGTATACGGTAAGGCCTTGGCACGATTTTGAAAGCTGTCGCCTACACCAAAATGACACGTTTACTGCTCATCATAATGTTGCCAAATACTGTGTGTACCGTGCATGGAGGTAGAATAGAATGTGGAGGTTATTCTAACCCACAGAGTATAATGATATGTGTTTTCTAACCGAAAAACGTCTACATAGGAAAGAAAGGTTCTATAAACATAATGCTATTACGCCACTAGAAATCGGAGGGAGAATTTGCCAAGAAATTTGGCGACGGAGCCTAGCAGTCAGAATTTCCCTCTCAGCGATAAGTATAGGAAATTGAGGAACACGCTTTAAGAAGAAACATTCTTTGATTTTTTGCAATAATTTAAGCACGGATTTTCGTAGTTTTCCCCCTCTCAAAATAACTTATCCATTAATTAATTTACTTGTGCGAAAAAATATTTTCTTTTGCTTTAAAGTTTAAAGAAATTTTAAATGACATTCATTTTATGAACTCTTGATAACGTGACCTTCAAACTTCAACACTGGCTTCGAGCTTTGGCGACAGATATTTCGCGCATTCACAGCTGTTTCCCTTTATGTTGGAACGGAGACACTCCTGTTGCAGAGAATTTTTCCTTCTTAACAATACATATTCTTTGATTCTAACTTCCATGTTACTGTATACTAGTTTTAAACCGATTTTGTTTTATATGAGAATAAGTATTTTGTTTAGTTGAACATGCACTGCACATATGCATAAGATTCTCAAGGTTAATGGAAACTTGCTTTGCCTTTCTGAAAGATAATCTAACTGGAACTGCAAAAATTGGCTCTATGCCAGCTGCCCGAATGACGCACATGCAATACATTAATTCGTGAAGAAAGTGATCGTTTCTAATGTCAGCGCAAAACTTGCTTTTTTTTTTGGGGGGGGGGTCGCCGTATGAAATTCCCTGACTTTTCCAAATTTTGACTAAAATATTTCAATTCTCTGACTTTTCCCTGGATTTTATGGTTAATTTTCGAATTCCCTGACTTTTTCTGGTTTTTCAGGTAGCGTGGCAAACCTGTTATATCCACATACCATCATAAATATGTAAATAGATGTCAGATACTACTTGGGAAATTACATTTTTGGTCTAATATCACATTATTGTCTAAAAGCTGCAATATCTGCATAAGGAAGGGTTCCAAACTTAAAAACATCTATGACATTTCTGAACCCTACATTGCATGCATCATAAAATCAAATATCTTTGCACTAATAGTTTGAATAATGGTGTTGAATAAATGAAAAAGATAAACAGAAACAAGCATAATTTAATAAGAAAAAAAAATTGATAGCTGTCTGGGTGTTCGTATCTATGCAAATAAAATTTAATTTTTTGGAAATTCGGGAAAATAAAGGTAGCAAGTAATTTTGGAAATAAAGCTAAAGCTTAGTTGTATTAAAATGCTAAAAAAAAATTTTTTTTTTTGCATGTATTGAAATCAAAGTGTTTCAAGACTATCTGGGATTCGACTATATTTCATTCATTAAATCAGAAACTTTTTTCTTTATTAAGAAAATTATTTAAATATGTAATTTTTTAACTAATGAAACAGTTTATTGAAAAGATTTTAAGACACATTTATATTGCACTTTTTGGATACACAAATATTTCTTGGGAAGGTAATTATTTAGAGTTCAATTTCTGCTGCTGTAATTTTTAATAACAAAATAAAGAGTGTAGCTTAGATATTATTGCTACAGAAAATTAATATTATGGCAAAAAGGGAAAATACAAAATCTTATATTGCTGCTGCTTGCTTTAAATCTAATTAGCACAGTTAAAAAAAATCAGTAAACTTACATAAAAAGATAGCAAATTTCAGAGTGCTATATTTATTCATCATTTTGTTTACCAGAATAATATAATTAATATACTCCTATGCAAAATAATTGATATCCCTTTTCTTCTGTCTATGAATGGCATTTTTTTTTTTCATTTAAGCATAGAATTTACATAATACAGTCATACATTTGACGTTAAAAATAGTCCTATTATTTCCGAAACATTAACAACATTTTTTCATAATATATAAATTATTTTAAATCATATTAGATTTTCAAGATGTAGCATATTATCTACATAACACAGACAAATTCCATAATTTTCATTTCACTTATGTTCTTATATATATATATTTTAAACAATGTAATGCTGTAAATAATAAATACAAATACAGATAGCTAACAGCACAATCCCAAAGAAATTTTTAAGCATAGCATTTATACTAATATTGGATAAAATTAATAAATTGCAGAATTATTATATTAGAAAAAATTTGCTGTATGAATATTTGATTATAAAAGTTCTCTGAAAAAATGTTCATAAATTATAGCATACACATTTTACACCAGTAATGTATAAAAAATTTAAATATACAACATACTATATTTTTAGGAAAAGAAAGCAGCTACATTTATAGAAAGATGGAGAGAAAGCATACTTCACAACTTGAAAACAAATGAATATATGTATAATATTTCAACTTTATACATATGTATAATATTTCAACTTGACAAATTAACAAGAAGCATTTGCAAAATAGCACCAAATAATACCCCACTGTTTCGTATACAACTGAGATGTACACTTATGAGTATATATGTGTATAAAGAATAAAGACTCTTTTATGAATTCCTTAGTCCCAAACATTCTATTAGTCAAAGTTCTAAATTTTTATAAAAAATACAATTTAACAGCAAGTTAAAATTTTGATTGAGAGAAAAATATGCATGTTTCTAAACAACCTCCCCCTCATGGTGCTTGTTTTACTAGGAAATATTTTATTACATGTAGAAATTGAATTCCAGTAAATAATAATGAAAGAAAAAGGTTTTAAATTCATTTAAAATATCTTTATCAAATCACACAAGCATTTTTTGGCTGAAAAATGTACATTCCACAAACTTTTCTATATACAATGGATATAATTACTATATCCAGAAAAAGAACAGTTTAATATTTCAAGTTGACCGATCCACAAGCTCATACTTCTCAGTTGAGCCTCCTGATTGTAATAACAAATATAAAAGGTCCAGCACTTGAAATCTACGTTTTACAATCATATATCTGTTGTTTCCTTTCCCATAACTTGATGTCTGTACACCAAATCTTGATGCAATTCTAAGAGAAAAAAAGAAATTATCCATTTTAACTAATTAAAACGTACACTGCAATAATTCGATTTTTCATGCTTTATAATAATGATAATAAAAAATAAATTTAAGTCAGATTTCAGATTTGTCATAAAAGAGATAATAGGTATTGTTCGTTTCTGAACAACAAATCATACAGAACCATTTAATATGTTTTTTTATTTGCAGCAACACAAACAAATATAAAATAATGTTGCAAAATAAAACATTCCTTAATGTCTATAATTAAGGATTAAATCTGACATTGTAAATTTATTTAAAATTTTTATACCAGAAAATTTTCATCCAAATAGTGTTCATTTAAATATGAGCTATTATTCAAGAATCCATTAGAGAAAGCCAATTTTTGGAGAGCCACATCATGTTTGAATTTGTTTTAGTTATGTATTATACATATATCAGTGGTTCTCAACATTTTTGCACCTCTCTTCCACTTGAGGTATTCTGACTCAAGTGTTGCTTCCCAAATAAGATGCAAAACTGAAAAATGAAACTACAGTAAAGCACACTGGTACAACTTTCAAAAAGATGTACATGAAAAATACTAATTTAAATTATGATTTTAGATCTCATATTTCTATTTTAATGGTGAAATTTTAATGCTGCTATTATGTTCATGCTATTGCAGAATTTAATCCCGAAGTTAACATTTTGTTTTAAAATGTAACTTATCTGGAGTATTCAGCGTGGAATTAAAATTTTTTTAAAAGTCTTTTACTTAAATATATTAAGGAGTAACCAAAATTAATGAGAGACATTTTAAAGGCAAACTCTTAAACTTGTTAAAAGAAATTACAGCTCAGCATAATTTTATGTATATGAAATATGTATAACTTATATTGTCATTTTCCAGATGTTTTGCAGTATCTGAGGAGTTATAGATACATTTGAGTACCATCCTTCAGTTCTTGTAGATCATATATCTCTTGAATATAATATAGCAGTCTTTGACGTACCTCCAAAGAAAGAAGCCCAGATAGATAACATCCAGAAAGTAGAGCAAAAGAACTGACCAACATCCAGTCCAATGATTTAGAAATTTTCTATCAAGATACTTTCTGATCTACTGGCTCTTATGTGATCAAGCTCCATCCTGTGGTAACATCACTGTTACTTGTAAATGATGTAATTGCGAAACTATAAAGTTTTTAGTATGTTTAAAAATACTTTTCTTCTTAGCATCTATTCATTGAGTCACTATCAGTCTTTTGTAGAATGGAAAAAATATTTAGTTGGCATGTAGTTTGGCTTAATTTCTTGCAACACTTGCATTTTTCATTCATACAAATATAATCTTTCATGTGCAACACTGTGGACCTTGGAATTTCCAGTTGTCTGCTTGCTTCCTGTTATGAACTTTCATGGACTCCCTGGGAAAGAATTTCTTATCAACATGCCATGTTTGTCTGACACTTGGACTTAACCACTACTACTATATTTCACCTCCCTCTTTATTGATAAAAATTGTTCTGACCAAACTTTTTTCGATCGAGTGTGGCATGCTGGCTTACTTCATAAACTATCTAACTTCCTTTCACCAAACAGCTTTATCAAGCTTATGCATTCTTATTTTAAACATCGTACTTTTCAAGTGCGCTATGGTGAAGCAATCTCTTCAAAAAAAAAGTGATTTACAGTGGAGTAGCTCAAGGCAGTGTTTTAAGACTGAAGCTTTTTACAATATTCATAAATGGTATGCCTCTACCTTTTCATTCTAATATACTCAAATATGCCGACGACACAGTCATCCTCACCAGTTCACGAAGTCCAAATAATGCTTTAGAGAAACTTCAGCTCCAAGTCAACATTATTAACAAATTTTGTCAAGACTGGAAAATCAAACTAAATACTGATAAATGCTGCGTAGTTCTCTTCCGCAGATACAGGAAAAATATCCCAGTGAATATAAATATCCGACTCAATAACCAAGATATTCCTGTTGCCAACTCCTATAAATACTTAGGTGTCTATATTGACAAAACCCTAAATTTCAAAGATCATATTCAATATGTTACAAATAAGGCTAACGCTGCTTTCATTGCTCTCTGCTCGTTAATTGGAAAAAACTCTAAGTTAAACCTATGTACCAAGAAAAATATCTACATCTCACTTATTCGCCCAATAATGCATGCAGTTCCAGTTCTATGCAGTTCCAGCCTGGGCTACTGCCCGAAAAATAGACAGACAAAAATTAAATGTTCTTTAAAACAAAATAGTGAACACACCCTGGTTCGTGCGAAATTCTCAAATTCACAAAGACCTGGATATCAACCCAATTCACGACCAAATCCTAATTTCTGCATACAACTTCTTTGAAGATATGAGAAATTCTCCCTATGAAGCTATTAAATCGCTTACAGACTATGACCCTACTATTGAGCACGTAGTGAAAAGACCTCGAACGATCCACCACAATTCTAAATGGTGGTAGTGTATATAATGTTAAAAAATATATATATATGTAATATTTTACTATTCCTCTGCAGTTACTGTTCAAGAAAGATGAACTTTGCTTTATCAGCAGCTTTATTATTTTTCATCGATGAATTCTTTGTTTTACTACTTATTTAACCAAGATTTTTACTTTTACTTTTTATTTTTACTATTTCGTATCGTGTGTTTTAAAATCAAAGTTCGTGGTAACACCAAGTGCTTACTCATTAGCCCTAGTGAGCTACATGACCTCATTTTCGCCTTTTACAGTTTCCTATTCATTTAATGATTATATCGCAAGTTTAGATGATTTTCAAGTGTTTCAAAAGACATAGGACTCTTAAATTCACAGATAGATGTTGCTTTTACTATATGTTCGAACTTTATTTATTTCCAAAAACTACAAAAAACTTCATTTTTCGAACTCTGACTCCTCGACCAATCTAAATGCCGGACGCTGATCACGTGTTTCTGCTCTTCTAGACTCACCCAGAAGCTTAGACTTTCATTTCGCCTCTCGCCGCCATTTATATAATCACCCATGCTATGCCATGATATGCAATTTAGCAAAACTTATTTTATGAGTTCTCTCATTTATTGATCTCGCCTTCGGGCGCGGTGTATTTTTAAATACACCTCTTAAATTTTTAACTTTATGGCCTATGGTATAATGATAATATACTGGTAAGAGCTCCTAGTAGCTAAAGCCAGCAGTAAAGATATGATCCAAGATCCAAGACCAAACTTTGATGGTGTTATGTTATGGAGAATCATTGTGAAACACAATACTAAAATTTTGTTGCATTAGCACAACACTTTTTATCTTTTTATACTATCATAGACATTGAGCTCTTTAATATACTGAAGCCATTTTTGTCTGAGTTATGCTAGATATGTTGAAATATTTACTATTTAAAAACTGTCAGCTACAATCCAGACATTAAGTTCTTGAACAGTTTTTGTGCTAGTACTGTTGTAAACAACACATTTTTGAATGTATCAATGAAAAACATTGCAACTTTAAAGGAATTTGGAATTAACCCTCTCACTGCGTATCCAGCGATTTCCATGGGCAACGTAGAAGTAGCAAAATTTGCACAACCTGTGATTTCTGCAGGGAATCATTTTTTCCATCTATTTAACTATGCAACATACTCTTTTCCCATTCGTGGTTTCATTTTGCTTTTTCTATGATGTTTAATTGTTTATTTAGATCCGGGTTAGAAGACAGAGTTAGTTGTCCATATTTCTGCAAAATATACAAGCATGTTTTGCACCATTTTGCATGCTCTTTTCAAAACTCAAAGATGTCTGTAGTTCAATTCTCAATACCTTCGGACTAACTGCTCGACATTTTGCTAGCCCCCTCCCCTCCAAAAAAGAGCCTCATAGACAATGTGGTCTTAGTTGCTAAAAAAACTGAAACTGGCAACAAAATTTGCAAGGAATGCAAGGTAGGACTTTGCCTCGATCCTTGTTTTGAAGTTTATCCGACTAAACTTCATTTCTAATAATACTTTTTGTAAGTATTTTGCATATTTTCATTAGTATATACATTTTGTATTTCATAAAACAAATCATAATTTAAAGAAGATTAATTTCTAAAATTTTGCTTTTATATGATTATTCATCATTTTCAATTCTGCGACAACCTTTTTTTTATGATCTAATTTTAAATTGGTGGGGGGGGGGACTCTTTTAAAAAAATATTTGTATATTTTAACTCTGAAATATATGTTGATTTGAAATATGTGATAAAAAATATGCAATTTTTTTAACCTACTTTACTAAAAAAATATGCAACAAGAGGGTTAATACTTCATTTTCTTCTTCCCACCTGTTCATCAAATCAGTTGCTCAACTATGCATCATTTTATCGTCATTAAATTGGTATCATACTGCCCAACCGGGACAGTGGTTAGCGATGCTGACTGCCATATTGAAAGGTTCAAACCCCAAAAGGCATGGATGTTTGTAAAAGTATAGTGCCTGTGCAGCATGGGGGCACTCTAAATATGCGGGGAGTGGAAAGTTATCTCGAGAGATTGGTGGTAGGTGAAAAAGGGTGGGAGACCCTCGGACCCATTCTCCCGGGGTGCTCTCTTCCAAAACTGGGGGCAAACTAAGCAAAGTCGTATTGTCATCTGTATGATGCACAAGGCTATTGCCAATGATAGGCACAATTTTGCACTCCTTGCTATAATGAATTTCATGGGCTTGTTCTAATGTTACTGTCAGACACTAAAGTCACAACAACAATAAATTGGCATCACATTTTCACATTCCAAAAAGGTCCAGTCCTCTTTGCTCATAATCACTTTAACTGTCAAACATTTTCTCACAATTTTGGATTTGAAAACTTTCCTCTGCTGACTTGTATTCACATATTTCTAATGGAAACTGGTTCTTAACTATATAACAATTTTTATTTGTCTTACTTGAGTTATATGGACAGTTTCAAGTACATTCATCTTTCCCTGAGTATTTCCTCCAATAATTATCCAAAAGGCAATTTCAACTAATCAACAATCAACACTAAAAAAAAAAAAAAAAAAAAACAAAAAAATCTTGAATTTCTTTAGGAGGTAAAGAGTACTTTTAAACAAAGTTTGTTACATAAATTTTGACTCTACTTTCAAAATCTGAATTCTCTTTTACTTTGTTACAGGTATAAATCAGCTCATACTTTTAACATTGTTCCAATGGAAAAAAATTCCCGTCCTATAACTATTAGCTGGTATGGAGGAGATAGGAGCTGGATGTGTAATTCTACAGAAAATTCTTGATCACTGAAACTCGATGAGACAAATTTTTAATTACGGTTACAGGAGTTAGAACTTCATAGAAGAGTTTTCAATTATGAACTGACAGTATATGCATACACATCTATATGTACACACTGAGTATTTTTCATATATAATGAGACAGATTTAAATAATTTACTGCACTGATTTAACACGTCTTAAAATTGATATAAATATAATTCATATAATTTAAAAATCACTGTAAGTACATGACAATGAACAAAATAATAAAACTGAACAGTGATCATACGTGCCTTCAGATAAATAACAAAAATGATAAAAATATGAGATCAACTGAATAGTTAATAGAATGGAAAAGTTATATTTTATAAAATTATTATAAGAAAGTAGGCCATTAAACAAAGACTTAAATTCATTTTAATGACCAATAAAATATAACACACAAATTTGCCTAAAATTTACCTTAGGCATTTATTATGGTAACACACTTGACAGTTAGTTGTGTCTGTCGATTTGCATTAAATTTGTTGGATTTTTGCATAGGACTATCTGTCTAATACAGTACAAAGTCTTTAATCTGGACGTCCACAATCCGGACCTCAAAGTTATAAACGTTCTGTGTATGCGTAAACACATAATGCGCTTACGCATGCTCATAATACCTTTACGCACGTGCATAATACATTTACTCATGCGCGTTTAATGTATAACGGACGGCATAAGGTAGGCTAAAATTATTTAATTATCTATTTCAGTTAATGTTGCAGATTGCATTGTTCTTTAATCTTCTAATTGGATCCGGCTTATTATTTTTTGCAGACTGTTAGAGCAATTTTACAAAAAGTAAGCTTGAACTTTTGATTATGTCAAAAAGAGTTTCCGATTCTGGAGCTGCCAAAGGATCTGCAAAGTGAAAACATGTTTCGATATCCATTAAAAAAAAAAAAAAAGGTGAAATTGCTGCAAAAAATGGATAAAGGCATATCCTCTGTTTCTCTAACCATTCCGAAATCTATTTACCAATTTCATGCTGCTCTGTGTGTGTGTGTGGGGGGGGGGGACGTCGTGCCACGCAATGAACTGGTAGCTGATCTGCCAGCACTATCCTTATCTTTAGGGCAGATGTTTTTATTTTATCCGGCTTATAATTCCTTACTAAATGTAGTATTTCATCTTGATGTACTCCGTCTTTGATATGATTTAAATCAAATTCCTCGTCATTATAAATATCACAAATACACATCAAATAGTTTTCTGGTTGCAATTTTCTAATTTCGACTATGCATAATGTATGCTTTACCCATGCATGCGTTGAAAGAAATGTTTAATAAAGTAAACAAATAAATATTAAGCATTTTTTTTTGTAAATTTTGATACCCTTTAGATCATAATTGCTCTTTATTTCATAAATTACGGTTTCATATTTTTACTTTTATAATTTCTGCATGCCATCTTACCAGATTTAAATTGATGATCTATAAATCCGGAAAAACCCTTCATCCGGAATCGCCAAAGTCCCGACAAGCCCGGATTAAAGACTTTGTATGCTTTTAATGAGACAATTTTACTGGCTTAATATAGTGTTACAAAATGTACAGGTGTGATTAGCTTCCCCGCAAAGTAAGTTTAGGATTGCCATAAAATGGCAAGGGAAGACAGGGTTGCCACATTTGGTGAGAAATTGCCCATTTGGTGACGAAATTGGCAATATGCCATGGACGATGGAGAAGCTTCTGGAACAAATTCTTACTGGTTTAGCCCAGAATGTTCTTGAACACAAAACAAAAGCTATATAAACCCTGCTGGTATGCGGAGAGTGTGTCTCGTCTAGCGAGTTGATAGCCAGTCAATGCAGAGTTAGTGAGAGTTCTTCGAGTTGACAGTCAGTCACAAGTGCCGAGTTAGCCGTTCAGTGTTCCAAAAGAGTCTCTTAGTGTATCACAGTTAGTACATCGTCGAGAGAGTGTGCTGAGCTCCAGGAATAAAGTGTGTTCGATATTTCATCAAGTGCTGTTGTCATTATTCACTCGAAATCTATGAACCCCTTAACGTATGTGAAGGACGAAAAATAATGTAACAATATGTTACACATAGGAAAGGCATGAAAATGCCCATGCAGTAAGCCTGTTTTCTGGATGTTAGATACTTAGAAAATATTAAAGAATTGGGAAAGAAATAGATGACAGCATTAACACTTCACAAGTACAGTTTTATTCACATGCATAATGCAGTGGCTACATAATACAAAAGTCACAGAGTGCTCAATGGCACTTAAAATTAGCATGCATGCACCACTTTCAACGCTCTTCTTTGAGAGATACATAATGGCATTAATTGCTCCTTCATGAGTAAGCTTCTGAAATCAGTTACACTGAGATATAAATGAAAATTAAATTACTTGGTCACTTTTGGGACTTCTTGCCTCTGTGGAGCTTTTTCTAAGGAAATAACATACATGCAGAAAATGCAAAAATTCCTTCACTAGAAACAACCAGAGGATGAACCACAAGCATTTCATTTCAGCTGACTGAATCTGCCTAAAACTCTGCAATATTTGCTTATATTTGAAAATGGGAGAAAGTAAAATGTTTTAGGTACAGATTCTAAATTTGCTACCTAGTCTTTATAACTGTGTTTAATAAAATATGAATTTGAAAATATGTTCTTCTCAGCAAAGGCAGGTATATTCTTTTATTTAGGAGTTATGTATAAGAAGTAAAATAAAAAAAGAGATTAAATTTTTCATATTTCATTATAAAATGTAATTAGAACCACATCATAATAATACTGAGTATTTCGATTGAAAAATAACTGTCATCGTCTCGAACAAAAATTATCGAAAAACAATTTCAAATGAGCCTATGATTTCAAATTATTTTTACCATTGGTTAAAAAAACTTACCTTAGCTGTAAGCCTTTTTATCTCAGGATTTGTTGAAAGACTCAGACATATATGATTAATTACATGGTTCTTAAAATAAGCGTAATTACAATTTTAAAATAATCCAAAAGAATTATTATTACTTGTGAATTTCTGCTCTTTCTTCTTTGGTGAATCTTGAGGAAAATATAAGGTCACTTGTTGTGCTTGACATACTGTAATCCTTTAACACAGAGGCAACTCTAGATTTAAAATCTTTCATTTGGGGATTATTGTTCTTATTATCTACATATCCTAAGCCTTGTCCAAACCTATGCTCACTTACCCTGGGGGGGGGAAGAATTTAATATTAATTTCAATATGTTGTCTGCATTTTAAAAAAGCTACGAAAGTATATACAGTCAAAAGTCGTTAATACGGACTCGTCGGGACTTCGGCGATTCCGGATTATAGATCATCAGTTTAAATCTGGTAAGAGGGCATGCAGAAATTACAAAATTAAAATATGAAACCGTAATTTATGAAATAAGAACAATTATGATCTAAAGGGTATCAAAATTTACAAAAAGAAAAAGCTTAATATTTATTTGTTTACTTTATTAAACATTTCTTTCAATGTAAGTTGTTTAAGTTGCTTCGTTTTTTTTGTGCTAATACTTTCTCTTTAATTCTATAAACAGACATAATTTCTTGTTCAGTTTCGCTGTTCAAGTCCTATAATTGCTGTGTCGAGAATACCAACTAATTTGTCAATCGAAATTTTTTCGTTTTCAATAACCTCTGTCACTTTCTTCACTATCGGAAGTGAATTAAAATGACGAGGAACTTGTTTTAAATCATATCAAAGACGGAGCACATCGAGATGAAATACTACATTTGGTAAGGAATTATAAGCCAAATAAAATAAAATCATCTGCCCTGAAGATAAGGATAGTGCTGACGGATCAACTTCCAATTCACTGTGTGCCGCGGTGTTCCCCCTGCCGAGCAGCGTGAAATTTATAAACAGATTTCGGATTTCGAAACATACTTTCGCTTTAGATCTTTTACATATTAAAAAATATATATCGGAAATTTTATTTGATATAATCGAAAGTTTAAGCTTACTTTTATAAAATTGCTCTAACTTTCTATAAAAAATAATAAAGCCGGATCCAATTCGAAGATTAAGGAACAACGCAATCTGCAACATTAACTGAATTAGATAATTTTAGCTTAGCTTACACCGTCCGTTATACATTAAACGCGCATGCGTACACGTTTTATGAGCATGCACACAAGCATATTCGCAGCCGTAAAGGTCTTATGCGCGCACGTAAATGCCTATGCGCATGCGTCAACGCGACACATGCGCAGAAAGTTTGTAGCTTTGAGGTCCGGATTATAGATCATTCTGGATTATGGGTGTCCGAATTAACGACTTTTGACTGTATATATATATACTGAAACAAAACAATAAAATTTTTTGTTTAAATACATTTTACTAACGAAACTAATGAGTATATGCACTGAGTCAAACGTTAAATTCTACAATCATGAAAAGTAAGAAAAAGTATAATTGAGGAAAGAAAGAAAAATTGAGAAAGAAGAAAATAGAAGAAAAAGAAAAGAAAGAGGGGAAAAAAAAGAAATAGAAAGTATAATTGAGGGTGTGAGAGGAACCATGTGATAAAATAAGTATGAAATGAATCACACTAAGAAGTCAAAAAAGGAGGGAGGGCAAAGTTGGTTATAATTAAGTGACACTAGTCAGAGCTATACAGCTCATTCTGATACTTTGTTGAAACTTGGTATATCATGTTACATGGACAATGGGAAAAAGAAATAAAAAAACAATGGTTCACATTCTGATCACATTAAATGGAGTTATTAATGCCATGTAAAAAGGATATTATGCAAAATATCAGTAACAACATAAAATCATTCTTCACAATGCCTTTAGAAGAAATATTGAGCTTTACCACTCAAGTAACAAAGATTATATTAACATTTGAACAGCTTGCAAAAAATACCTTAGTTGAAGAATGATTTGAAAAACAAAATTATAACTAATTTTCAAGAGACTAGGCTGTTTGATGGCAGAGAACAGAAGCAGAATTCAAATGAAACTATTGAAATCACTGGTTGACAAAGTGCTTTGTTCCTGATATTTTTTGACAAGTGGTCAAGCAGTGTTATGTGATCTGTCAGTTCCTTGGCATCTGTGGTAAAAATTGTAGAGAGTGTGGTGCTGCTCATGTATAATTCAAAAATTTCAGTTTTGTGGGAGAGTAAAGAGGTATAGTGAGAAAGAGTTGAAGTATTAATGTAAACCCCAACCATTCTGTGAATATATTGTAAATATTCATTGTAAACAGATTCCTAAAGTATTAGAATGAAATAAAGTGTAGTATTTATATGAATTCGACAAGAACCACCGATGATGAGTGATGGTCAAATTTTCAAATGTTTTGGCACATTTGACTGAAAACAAAAGTTTATGAATGTAGCTGTTAAAGCATCGATCGCTATTTTGATAAAATACCATGGGTTAATTTTGTAAAAAAGTCAACTTGAAACAAGGTGAGTGATACAATTTCTACTTACATGCTATTTATCTTTGGAAATTAAAATGAGTCATGAAGAAACAGTCGGAAAATTAGAGGTTCTGTTTGAACCACTGTCACAAAATTAAGAAAATTAAAGAAGAGTTACAAAATCTAAAGCTAGAACTGTTGCAAGAATTGCTTGTGGTGTTAATCAAGAGAGAAGTTAATTTATTAAAATATGCTGAAATTATTAATGCACAAAGCACTGGGCAGGAATTAGAAACAGAATTAGAGCTTTACTTAAATTATAGTAAAGCTATCATCAGGCCTGTGCCGACAATAGGTGCAAGGTCATGTGGCGCTGAGTCGAAAAGGCACCAGGCAATCATTAAAACAAACAGTTCATCTCGATGTCTGTCTCAACAAGAAAATTCTTGTCTTATTTGAACGCCCTTCCAGGAGTCAACTCAGGTAAAACCTCGGAAAATACTGATTAGTATTTATTTTTTAGTATACTTTTTTATACTTTGATTAGTATTTATTTTTTTAGTATACTGATTAGGATCTGTACTTAGGCAGTCTCGGCCACAGGTGTTTAAATTCAGTCTCTACAGGAACTGAAGTCATCGCTGGCGATGGTTCTTTCAGGCTCGGCATTTTCCGTATGGTACTGTCTTGTCTGTTGGTTGTTGTCAAATATTTATGATTGTTCGGGTGAAACACTGCCATCAATGTAGTTGGAGAATTCAGGGAGCCTTTAAACTGCTTGAGGTTTTTATTTGCAAACATAGTAATTTGTGCAATATTTATCTTTTTCGTGATTGCTTGTTGTTATTGTTTTTCTACATAAAAAAAGGTTAAGTGCAGTTACATATTATGCTAAACTTAGGTTAACTTTTGAAATCGCAGAAGCAATGATTTGAGTATAACTACTCGAAAACTGCTAAGCTCATGTCTGAACCATTGTCGTATTCTTGGTCGCATAAATTACTAATATCTAAACCATTTTCCTCTTTTGTCTTCAATAAGAATGTTGTTCGTATCTGTTATAATAGAAAATACTAAAAATTTTTCTTCAATACTCATGTCCATATTTTCTAAATTAAGATACCTCATACAAATTGCTGCTCTTAATGGTTGACACAAGGGGTACAATCAAGTAAAATAGAAAAATGCTTTGCCTGTTTGACCTTATTTAAAATATTTTGCTTTTTATTATCCCCTAATAAGCTAATTGCTTTATTTTGAATTTTATCTTTAAGATAATGAAGTATTTTTTTTAGTTTAAATTTTATTAATATATACAGGCATGATAGGTCAAATTTTGGGATCATTTCTATACACTTTAAAAAATTATTTCTTTCGAATAATTTGTTACTGTAATTATGAAAGGCTAAGTTTTGTTTGGCTAAAAACTGAATGGCATAGATGATTTTTTCAATAACATCGTCATGTAGTCTTTTTTTTTTAAAAATTAATTCAATTCGTTATTCTTCTAATGTCTAAAATTGGGTACCTTCATGTTGGCAGATTCGCAAATATCTAAGAAATTGCATCCTTTTTGTTTTTTGGACGACTGGTAATGCTCCTTGATTAATGGCTAGACACCCAATAAAATAAAATGAAATCTTAATTAATCAAAATACGGACATGGGAATAAATAACAGGAATCTCAGCGATGAGTAAAACTCATACATGAACTAGTAAAATCAGAAGGCGAAAATTCTCTTTTGCAGTCACGCAGAGATGATATTCTTATTGCGCATGCATGAAGAGGTGAACTAGAACCGCCGAAGAAATGGAGGGGGGGAGGAAGGTAGCCCCATACCATCTTCCTTCCTGGAAAAAGAAAATCCGCTCAAATTCTGAAAAAGAAAGGGAAAAAATTAGTCTTCCACAAATCGTTTGGGTAAGTGGACACGACGTCCTGAACGAGTTTGATAATTTGCTTTTGCAAGAGCACTTTTTTCAGGTGGCTGTTCGTTCACTGGATGAGTTGGTTGCTGTGATTGAGGCCTTATCCACATTAGTTAAACTAGGAGGTTCAGATACATCATCTGGGACTAAATAAGCAGGTTTTACTCTGTCGATAGACACAGTGATATCATATCCTTGTTTAGATATGGTAAAAGTTTTATCACCACGTCGAAGTACTTTGTATGAACCCGTGTAAGGTGTATGCAAGGAGGGTTTTACCGTATGCACACGTAGAAAAACATGAGAACATTTATCTAAGTGTTTATATACAAAGATCTGTTTTTTAGAGTGATTGGTAGTAGCAGTCGGGCGAAGATGTTCTAAATTATCATTCAATTTTTTTAGGAAGTCACTCCTCGGAATGTTGCTGTCAGGAGGCATAAAGATACAAATCCTGGAAGACGCAAAGTTTAGCCATACACCAGTTTGGCTGGAGAGCAGTTAAGTTCCTCTTTGAAAGCAGTCCGAAGTCCCAAAAGAACTGAAGGCAATGCGATAGTCCAGTGTACAGATGTGTGACACATTATGGATTGTTTGAGGGATCTGTGCCACCTTTCAATGATACCGTTGGCTTGTGGGTGATACGCAGTAGTGTGAGAAAGGCGAATAACGAAGTTCTTGGCTAGTTCACTGCGAAATTGACTACCACGATAAGTGGTGATCGGAGCAGGCACACCGAATCTTGAGATCCAGTCAGCATAAAGAGCAGTGGCGACGGTCTCTGCCCATGTATCTTTCAATGGATACGCTTCATGCCAGCGAGTATGCCTATCGATGCAGTAAGACATTCCTTGAGATGATGGAAGAGGTCCAATCAAATC